GACACTGTGAGACAAAGAACTTTCAAAGATGTAGTTAGTATGTTTCCTGTTTCAGAAGTATTCTCTCAGGCAATACTTAGAGCTTGTAAATTTATTCTGCTCTAGAAATAAAGATAAATAAAGAACACTCACTAATTATCATCTTCTGAGGCCCTTAGATCTGGTTATAACTAGGGTCTCAATGGCTTTACAAAGGATTTAAATCTCAAAAAAGGGGTGTCTGAATCAGATGCCAAGTTTCCTTCCACTGTGAACTGTTTCCTTCCCATTTCTATATCATTTCTACAGCAGCCTCCAAATGCTGGACTCCAGTTAAGTGCTTGTGCAGATCTGCTCATTTCACCCGTGAGCTGCACCACAGCATCATGTTAACCTATTGGGGAAAAAGTATAAGGGGTAGAAAAGAAAACCAGTTTGCTGAAGTTGACCTTTGATTGCTCACAGAAAAACTGATGTATTCCCTAACAAAAGCCACCATAAAAGCATGATCTGCTTGTACTCAAGCAAATGACTGGTCATCCAGAGAACAATGAGGGACAATAGGCAAATCTCAAACGTTTTGGAGACTGTCTTGATAGTAGTGATGGTTTTATAGGCAGAGATCTTTTTTTAAAAAATTTTTTTATTAATTACACTTTATTCATTTTGTATCCCCCCATAAGCCCCTCCTTCCTCCCCTCCCGATCCCACCCTCCCTCCCCTTTCTGCATGCATGCCACTCCCCAAGTCCACTGATAGGGGAGGTTCTCCTCTCCTTTCTGATCTTAGTCTATCAGTTCTCATCAAAAGTGGCTGCATTGTCCTCTACTGTGGCCTGGTAAGGCTGTTCCCCCCTCAGGGGGAGGTGATCAACAAGCAGGCCAATCAGATTATGTCAGAGGAAGTCCCTCTTCCCATTACTAGGTAACCCACTTGGACACTGAACTGCCATGGGCTACATCTGTGCAGGGGTTCTAGGTTATCTCCATGAATAGTCCTTGGTTGGAGTAGGAGTCTCTGGGAAGTTCCCTGTGTTCAAATTTTCTTGTTCTGTTGCTCTCCTTGTGAACTTCCCGTCCCCTCCAGCTCTTACTATTTTCCACTTTTTACATAAAATTCCATTCACTCTGCCCATCAGGCTCAGCATCTGCTTTGACAGTCTATACTGCAGAGGGTTTCAGAGGCCCTCTGTAGCAGGTTCCGAGGTTGTTTCCTATTTTCTTTTTCTTCCTCTTTGCCTTTCAGGATGGGGATTGAACATTTTAGTTAGGGTCCTCTCTTTTGCTTAGTTTGTTTAGATGTACAGATTTTAGTGGGTTTATTCTATGTTGTATGTTTATATGAGTGAGTATATACCATGTGTGTCTTTTTGCTTCTGGGACAACTCACTAAAATGTACCAAATTACATGCTTTAAACATATGTAACTTCTTATATGCCAAAGGTATCTCAGTAAAACTATTCACTCTCACTTAGACTTTCATAATGTAAACAAAATGGCTCCTGGTAGAGTGCAATAAGAATGGCTACCAATGGGCTGGGGACAGTGATTACTGCACGCTTGGAACTTTGGGTTAGATCCCCAGCATTGTGTGATTGGGCACAGTGACATGGACTTATCACCCTAGCAGTTGGAAGGTCGAGGCAGAAGGATCAGAAATTCAATAACATCTTGTCCTCCTCATCGACAGTTTGATGCCAGCCAGGGGGCTACAAGAGACTTTGCTAAAGGGAGAAAAAGACCCTTCTCTACATTTACTCTTCCATGAGACTGAACAGTAGTCCAACCTGCAGTCAGTCATGTTGGATGGCTCTGATGGGGGTAAACAAACTGACAGAAGCAGGTATCTGAAGAGCAGTGTAGCTGTGACCGTCTGTGGCTCTCCACAAAATATTAAGCAAAGGCTACACTATCACTAGCACACCAATATGGACAGGTGTGCACCCTGTCCGTCTCTCTCCAGCTCTACAGTATAGTCTTTCACTCCTTCTTTACATCAACAATGTGATTTCTTGAAAACCTTCCCGTTATCTTTGCATTCAGAACTGGCACACTTACTCAACTGTTTCTCTTATTGGTTGGCCCTTTTCCTCCCCCACTACTTATGAGAAAACCCTCACGCATGCTGGTCAAGTGCTTAACACACTTATTCCCCAGCCATTTCTCTTTACTTTTAATAAGCCTCTTACACCTAATGTTTGTATCACATCTCCAGGACACTGACATCCCCAAGTTCAGCATTCCCTCTTTTGGGTCTCCTGGATGCTTCCTAATAGTGAACTTATTTATATTTTTTACCTCTAGTCTTTACTCTGTTAAGGAAAAGGCCACGCTTTATTGGTTTTTCTTTCCCCAAAGCTAAGTGTAAAGAATTTAACTGATACTCAGTATGTGTTCATACAGAAGTCCCCAGAGAGGGAAAAAGTTCAGCTTGACTAGAAGTTAGATTAATGTTACAGAAGACAGAGGTCTCAGGAATAATAATAATAATAATAATAATAATAATAATAATAATAATAAACCACAGCAACACTACATTAGCCTTCGATTAGAAGTTCTCCCCAGAGCAAACATGTAAAGTGCTCTGTTTTGAGAACTAGCAGGGAAGGGCAATGAGATGCAAGAGCCCTGTGCCACTTAAGTACCTGTGAGAATTGATTAGCCCTGCCTGCCCTAACTGAGGTGAGGGAGGGAGAAACTGAGCACAAGGGAGAAACAGTATTGCACTCCCACGTCTCCTAATTAAACAAATGGCTCAGTTTTCTTAAAGCTGAGAAAGTGTTTTCTTCCATTAGACCAAGCCTCTGGGATATACATATTTTTCTCAAACATTAGGCAAGAACCAGTAAGTGACTGTCATTCTTTCACTAATGAGGTAAACTTTTGACTGAGGCTCACTAAATAGTCAGCACTTCTTTTCAGGGAGATACAATTCTTTATCCAGCTACACACACTCCAGAACTGTGGCAGACTGTTGAGTGGAGAAGGCATAAGGGGACTCCTGACAAAAGAAGATTCTCAGAGCTCTGTTTTTTTATTTTTAATATTAATTACAGTCTATTCACTTTGTATCTCAGCTGTAGCCCCCCTCCCTCCCTCCCAATCTCACTCTCCTTTCCTCATCTCCTCTTCTGCCCCTATCCAAGATCACTGATAGGGTAGGTTCTCCTTCCCTTCCATCTGACCCTACCCTATCAGATCTCATTAGGAGTGGCTGAATTGTCTTCCTCTGTGGCCTGGTAAGGCTGCTCCCCCCTCAGGGGGAGGTGATCAAAGAGCCAGCCACTGAGTTCATGTCAGAGACAGTTCCTGTTTCCCTTACTAGGGAACCCACTTGGATACTGAGATGCTATGGGCTACATCTGTACAGGGGTTCTAGGTTATCTCCATGCATGGTCCTTGTTTGGAGTATCAGTCTCAGAAAAGACCCCTGGACCCAGATTTCTTGGTTCTGTTGTTTTCCTTGTAGACAGGGAGCTCCTGTCCCCTACAGGTCTTTCTATCTTACCCTTCTTTCATAAAATTCCCTGCACTCTGCCCTAAGTTTGGCTATGAGCCTCCACATCTGCTTTGATACACTGCTGGGTAGAGTCTTTCAGAAGCCCTCTGTGGTAGGCTCCTGTCCTGTTTCCTGTTTTCCCCTTCTTCCGTTGTCCATTTGCCTTTCTGATTGAGAATTGATCATCTTACCCTAGGTCCTCCTTCTTGCTTAGCTTCTTTAGGTATGCAGATCTTAGAATGTTTATCCTATATTTTATGTCTAATATCCACTTATGAGTGAGTATATACCATGTGTGTCTTTCTACTTCTGGGATACCTCACTCAAGATGACCTTTTCTAGATCCCACCATTTACCTACAAATTTCATGATTTCCTTGTTTTTAATTGCTGAGTAGTATTCCTGGGACTTCATGAAACTGAAAAAAACTTCTGGAAAGCAAAGGACATTGTCATTAGAACAAAACAACAGCCTACAGACTGAGAAAGGATCTTCACCAACCATATACCTGATAGAGGGCTAATATCCAGAATATATAAAGAACTAAAGAAGTTTAAAAGCAACAAATCAAGTAATCCAATTAAAAAATGGGGTACAGAGCTAAACAGAGAATTCTCTATAGAGGAATGTCAAATGGAAGAGAAACATTTAAAGAAATGCTCAAAGTTCTTAGTCATTAGGGAAATGCAAATCAAAATGATCCTGAGATTTTACCTTACTCCCATCAGAATGGCTAAGATAAAAAACTCAAGTGACAATACATGCTGGAGAGGTTGTGGAGAAAGGGGAACCCTCCTCCACTGCTGGTGGGAATGTAATCTTGTACAACCACTTAGGAAATCAATCTGGCGCTTTCTCAATTAGGAATAGTGCTTCCTCAAGACCCAGCTATGCCACTCCTAGACATATATCCAAAATATGCTTAAGTACACAACAAGGACATTTGTTCAATCATGTTCGTAGGAACTTTATTCATAATCGCCAGAAGCTGGAAACAACCCAGATGTCCCTCAACTGAGGAATGGACACTGAAATTGTGGTACATTTACACAATGGAATACTTCTCAGAGTTCTGTTAAATGCCTTCCCATCACACGTTAGCTCAAATGCTCTACTAGCTGGAGGATGTGAAGATGAACTGTGAGCTCTTGCTGCTCTCTTTCATTTCCAGCTAGTTGACTGTTCTCTATCTCTTCCTCTGTGGAAGTTGAATGACCTCCTTGGAGAGATCTGGGACAGAGACCAGATAACACACACACACACACACACACACGCACACACACACACACACACACCTCAATTTTGCAATTTTCTTCCTATCATCTATTTAAAAAATAATCGTTTTTAGTCGAGATTGTGGTCAAAATCCATGGGGGCGGGGAACGGGACTAAGATCTAAGATTCCGAAACAAACCACAGTGAAAACAGTTATGAGTGAGGCTCTGGGCTGGGTTGTCACTTGAGGGTGCAGTACTTACCTGGTATGCTCACAGTCCTGGTTCCCATTTCTAGCACTAGAAAAAGTTAAGAGAATTATAGATTCAGGTGCTTTTAAAAACAGCAAGGAAAGTCAAGTTTTGACATGGTTAAGAAAACCTTTTACAAGTTTTGCAACAATAGATTGAAGCAAATACACAAAGAGCTAGAATTGCTCTTCCATAGGAAAATAAATACATATACAGTTACTCAGTAGGCATAACATAACTAACTTTAAGTCTATTAAGCTGAAATGCACTTGCCTCCTGAGGGTTTCTAAGTGACACTGTCTCCTGGAAAGGCAAGGCAGCAAAGAGTATCTACTTACCCACAGCAGAGATTAGCACACTAGATCTTTACATGTAAACCCACCATCCCGCAGAGAATTTACCATTATGTTGCTCTGTTAGCTGTTGTTTATATTCGGAACCCAAAAGCTTAGTGGACACTCACATGTATACGACACTCATACTGCTGCCTAGGAAGGGCCTAGGGATACCTGAAAAGGGTCACTACTTGGACTCACAGTTATCCATAGGAAATTGGTTCCCCCAAGCCCTGTAAATGTAAGAATCTGCAGATATCCACGTTTACTATACAAAACAGGAAAGTATCTGTATGGAACATATGCAACTCTTTCCATATATTTAAGTCACATGTAGATGATGCATGTTGAGGAGAGTCAGCTACGTTCCACATGATTGCCATGTGGAAAATAATTCCTCTCTCTGTGACTTCAAATAAAGTGGTATAGGTAAATATTCTGTTATAATAGTCTCTGAGTTAAAAAAAAAAACACAAAATTTTTTGTATTAAATTAAAAAACTACTAGGTTTTCTGCTACAAACACATAAATAATAGGTCTAGTGGTGCATATCTATAATTCTAGCCTAGCTAAAGGCAGAGGATGAGTTCAAGGTCATCCTCAGCTACATATTGATTTTGAGGGCGGCCTAGGATATATGAGATGCTGTCTCAATAATTCAAATAAAACTCCCTCAAAACAACAACAAAATCAACACAGAAAAACTCAGCACAAGAAGGATTGAAAGTCTATGGTCCAATATAGTCTCATCTAAGCCCCTGATACATATCTAATGTTCCCCAAGTTTTTCTACAGAAAGAGAAAGGCAGTATAATATATAGGTCTTTTCATAAAGATCTCCTAAATATAATCCTAAGAAGTAAGGACCTATGTGTCTTCGTGACTATTCCAAATCTCATACTGTCTTCAGATAAATGCATAAAGAGCGCATCTCCACTGTGTTAACTCTAGTGAAGAACAATATTGCACCCTACTATACAGTGTGGAAGATGGCGTGAAACCAAGAACCCTCAAAAAGGTAAATGTGAACGAAATATAAGGAAGACACTTAAGCATTGTTTGCACTAGCCATTGGGCTCAGTGACGGAGCACACACACATGGCTGCTGAAGAGGTAGTATGAGGACCTCCAAACAACCAAACAAGCATAGAAGAAAATCACCTAACAGATACAACATCAAATTCAAAGTCCAGTCCCTGTTCCTGTGATCATCTGCCCCCAAACATACAAGTCTTAGGATGTGTTGAAGTCATTGCTGTTGTTTCTATTGTAGCAAGGTCAGAGTATAGTAACAGACTTGATGAAGCAATGTGAACACTCTCTTCACAGTGGGCATCTGGTGTCAGCACAGACCTATCTAGCCGCTGATTGGTATCTGAGAGATCTTCTATTAAGTATCTTAAATTGGGTTGCCAAGTGCCTGGAGTAAGAAAAAAAATGAAAGGTGGAAGGTATGTGGGAGGACCAAATTAAAAATCTCAGTCCTTAACAAAGATTCACACTGTCCCTGCTACTAGCAGTATTAGTTAACACAGCTACACAATAAAATCTGCAAGTGAAGAATGTTGGCAAACAAGTTATTTCAAAAGAGTAATATTTACAGAACAACCCAAAGAAGCAATGTTACAATCAACTAAAACATACAATAATGCAATGAATATGTTACACAATTAAGATACAGATTTAATTCTCATACATATAAAGGAAACTAAGAAAAAATGAGCACAACTTTTAGTTGGAAGTGGTACAAAGAGACTCTGGTAATTATTTCTTGACAGGTGCTGACATGGATATCACAAGCAATGATTAACTCAGCAGCATACTTTGGAACTGAGTGCTTTCCTATGTGTATTTATAATACTTGTTTTAAAACAAATATAGTTTATTTTTACATCATCATTATAGAAATGTATTGGCCTAAGTGGAGAGGTGACTTAGCTGTTAAGTCTTGCTGCTTTTGCTGACGCTCTAGGTTTGGTACCTAGAACTCCCATAACTGCTTACAATCCTTTGTAATTCCAGTTCCAGGGAAACAAGACACTCCCTTCTGATCCTGAAGGTATAAGGAATGGATGTGGTGCACAAATATTCATGTAGGAAAACACTCATACACATAAAATAAACCTTACATTTTTTTAAATGACCTTGGTATTTTATAGCCGGGACCCAGCAATGTCATAACCTGGGAAATTAACAGAGGATAACTGTCTCAAGTGGAAACTGAAATCACAGATCCATTGGCCAATGTGCCTTACTGCTAGTCACACCTATCATTAATTTGGTCTGTATTGTATCTTACATGAATTCTCAAAGTCTTTATACCTAGTTTCTGGTGGTGTCCTGCTTCTTTCTACTTTGTCAACCTAGAACCCAGTGTGATCCTTTGAAAAAAAATTAATGGAAAGTCATCAAGCCTCCTACCTAACCCTCCCTCCCCCACAAGCATCATGGTCTCAGCTATCAGGGAGACTGATGAAGCAGAATGCCACTTGATCAGTATTTCAAAACCAGTCTGGGTAAGATGGTAAGATGCCGTCTCAAATAATAAAGCAAAACTAAACCCTCCCCCAACTCCTCACCTCACTGAGAATCACAGGCAGTTTTTCAGACCAGGTTCTTGCTATAACTTTCAACACCCTTTGCAACCTCAAGCTTGCTCTGTTCATACGCAGCCTTTGGCTGCTGAATAACTGTGCCAACAACAGTACTCTATTGCCTTGAACTGCCAACGATTCTGTTCTGTACAAGACACATACTTACCACACCTCTGTTCAAGCATTTCTGGAAGGAAGGAAAAGGTTTTCCAATCTAAGTGCTACTTAAGCTCCACATTTCTTCTCAACACTATGTTTAACAATTTCTTTTTAGCTGCTATTATCTCATACACAGTAAACAAATGCAGCATAAGCCCTGACACCAACTAGAAGGAAAGCCTCTCAACAGTTAGAATAGTCACTGCTTTGAAACTTAAGAATCAAAGAATAATGCTGTCATAACAGTGGCACTGACGAAAGAGTCAGACACAAGGGTTTAAATCCCAAGGACTACTTGCCAGCAAGCTGGTTTGAGGCAAGCTGAACTCTCTTGTCTCAGATGCCATACATGTGAAATGGAAATGCTGATAGTATTTGCTTTCTTGGGTTTTATAAAAACTGATACCTGTTAGGTCTAGTTAGGATTTACAATAGAAATACAAGGGCTTCACTCCACTGTCGAGGGAATCTGGGTCTAGTGATGGAATGGTGTAAATTTTGACTGTATGACAGGTTTATTGGGATACACTCCTGCAGCAATCTGAAATGTACCTATCTATAGATATCAAGAGCGCAGCACATCAACAACTTGAAATGTCACATGAATACTTGATTTAAAAGTACTTAACATCTGTATCTAGTAATTCCAAGCATACCCACTAAACCTGTACATAAAGGTGGCAGTGATTAACTTTCCAGAGAAAGGGGTATAGGTTCTGGACAGCATCCAACAGGGCAGTAAACTCACGTCCAACTAATAAAGCAAAAAGAGAAACAAATATCTATCCAGCTGTAAAGTTCTAATCAATTTTATTGTTTTTTTTTGAGGTAATAGAAAAAGTATAGATGTAATAAATTGAGCACCAATGTAAACTTCAGAACTCAGAATACAGACTAGGATCATTGTGACTTCTCTAGCCTGTCCTCTTTAGCCTCTGGTTTTCATCTTCAAGGTCACACAGTGAATTAAAAAACAAAAACCAGACTTTGTTCAAGAGTTTTTTTTTTTCTCAGAAAGCCACACAAGAACCACTGTTTATGAGTTGACAGCCAGGGTCATGGAAGGTAGAAAATACTATCTGCAAAAGATTTCTGAAAGTGGCACTGTTTGCTAATCAAGTAAGCCCATGATCCTTCTGTTATAGTTTAAAATGGATACTAAGAAAGTAACTACAGGCCTTTGTTATTCTTTTGACAATAAACCACAACTAACAAAGGATGTTAGGAAGCTTCATGCTCTGTTCACAATACATTTGACACAACACATTTGACACATTACCCAGTGCCTAACATCACACAATTCTAAATATGCCATTGGTCAGATTAAGTTTCCTAAAGTAAAATTAATATAGGAACAAAGCTATAGTAAAAAATACTATATTACATATTGTTTGTGATTGGGCCTAAGAGTTATTCAGAGGACCATAACCCTAAAATTAAAAAGATCAAGAAAACTAAAGAGCTGGATTCTGTTTGTTATAAATACAATCCCACATTCATACACAAGTGGACTATGGCTATAATAATTTTCATAGAGTTATCAGCAGTGTAAATTCTCATACATTTCTAGAAAAAAAACTGCATTGCATCTTTTTCTTTTAAAAAGCTGTAAAAATTTTCTCCTAAGTGTTCATAGAAATCACAGTAATTGAGGAATAAGATTATTCTTAAATTGAGCACTATTACAGCAGTACACACAGTCTTTGCTATGGATGAGTTCTGTGTATTACAGGCTATTTGGTAGCATGTCTTATACCATCTTTTTATATGTCAGTGCACTTCTCACCTCATTCTCAAAACCCCAAATCTCTCTGGACATTAACAAAAGCCCTGGAAAGCAAAACTGCCCCAGGTTGAGAACCAAGCCTGTTAACCAAAGCCTGCAAAAGATTTTTATTAATAGCATGTGTGTCAGAATTTAAGTGCCACGTAGATCTCTGCCAGATGACTTTTCTCTTTAAAAAGAACAAGCACCTTGGCTTGTGAACCAGCAATAATAAGGTTGGCCAGTTTGCTCAGCTCTTTTTAATGGATGTTTCCGTATTTCTTACTTCTGAGATTTTTTTTTTTCTTTACTCTGATTTCTCCCATGAGGAACAAATAAGAGATGAGAAAAAAATTTCCCTAGTCACTATAGTGATAAAAATGCTTTTGGTGTGCCACAAAGTGTTGCTGACTTTAACACTAAATGCCCTGGCTGAAGACTCTCTCTCTAAGTTCTTGTGTGTTTGAGAACATTATGTATGCTGAGAAGTTCTTGCTACTCAATACAGAAATTTTCCTATTCCCTGTGTTCTCAGAGACCCCAAGTGCTGAGTACCAACTCAAGTCTTCTTGATCTTTACACAAACTGGATTTCTCCCAAGTTCCATGTGATCTTTTATGTTCTGGATGTGGAGAGACAGTGAAAGATTTGTAACTTTTAATGCCTACCAGGTTTCCTTTGCATCTGAGCACTCACTGAAGCCTTTTCCACACGGATGGTGTAAAGAGTTTCTCCCCTCGGTGGGTTTTCACATGACTCCTTAGGGATGAATGGTCACTGAAAGCTTTTCCACAAACAAGACATTCATAAGGCTTTTCCCCGGTGTGGATCCTCCGGTGTACAGTAAGGTTGGATCCTATGCTGAAGGCTTTTCCACAATGGTCACACTCATATGGCTTCTCCCCTGTGTGGCTTCTCATGTGCGTCTTCAGGGTAGACTGGTTCCTGAAGGCTTTTCCGCACTGCCGACACTCCACACGCTTCTTGACAAGATGGGTGCTCATGTGCCTCCTTCGTGACAGGTAATCACCAAAGACCTTCCCACAGGCAGTGCATTCATAGCGTCTCTCCTGAGTGTGTATTTTCCTGTGTGCAGTGAGGTTGGAGCTTGCACTGAAGGCTTTTCCACAGAAATCACAGCCATAGGGTTTCTCCCCAGTGTGAGAGTTCATGTGTGTCTTCAGGATGGATTGGTTTCGGAAGGTTTTCCCACACTCGAGACACTCAACTGCTTTCTTTACAATATGAATCCTCATGTGTTTCCTCCTTGATGGAAGGTCACGGAAGGACTTCCCACATTCTTTGCACTCATAGGTTTTCTCCACCATGTGGTTCTTCTTATGCAAATTGAAGTTGGACTTCCAGCGGAAGGCTTTGCCACACTGTGTACACTCATAAGGCTTCTCCCCCGTATGGTTCCGGACATGCTCCTTCAGGTGGGAGGGGTGCTGGAAGGCTTTTCCACAGTCCTGACACTCATAAGGCCTTTCTCCAGTGTGTGTCCGCTTGTGGGCAATGAGGTGGCAGCTCCTGCCGTAGGCTTTGCCACACTCATCACATTTGTAGGGTCTTTCCCCCGTGTGAACTCGCATGTGTATCTTTAGAGCAGAGAGGGTCCGGAAGGCATTGCCACACTGACTACAGTCAAAGGGCTTCTCTTTCAGGTGAGTTCTCGTGTGGCTCCTTAGAGCTGAGGGGTCATTGAAGGCTTTTCTACAGTTACTGCACTCATAAGGCTTCTCCCCAGTGTGAATCCTATGGTGCCTCGTGAGGGAAGCACTGGTAGTGAAGGCTTTCTGGCACTGGTGACATTCATGCATTTTTCTCCCATCATAGATGCGGATGTGCTGAGTCAGGTGATTCCTATTCTTGAAAGCAGTTCCACAGCTGCGGTGGCGATGGGGCCTTTTGCTTGGGGGCCTTCCTCTTGGCTGAGTAAGATGAGGGCTGATACTGAAGACTTCAAACAAATGGGTGAATTCAGAAGATTTCTCCAAAAGATGAGACTTTTCCTGTTGGTTAAGAGATAAGAGCTAACTGTGGCATTTATAACACTATTTCATTTTATGTTTTTGGTGGTGATGACTAAATGGAAGGCCTGATAAGTACACAGCATGGGCTTAGCATTAGTCTACAGCTCCATCCTCTTTCAATCTGCCTCGGAATAAATTAGCACTAACACTAATTTTAGTATCGTGCCATGACCGTAATAAATAGTTTTTTGTCAACCTTACAGAAGAAGCTGAAGTCATCTTAGAGGAGGAAACCTCAGTTAAGAAACTGCTTCCACAATATGGGGCTGTAGTCAAGCTTATAGGGTGTTTTCTTAATTAGTGTTTGATGGTACAGCCCATTGTAAGTGGTGCCATCCCTGGGCTGGTGGTCCTGGGTTCTAGAAGAAAGTAGACTAAGCAAGCCTTGGGAAGCAAGCTAGTAACAGAACCCCTCCATGGCCTCTGTATCAGTTCCTGCCTCCAGGTTCTCACCCTGTTTGAATTCCTGTCCTGACTTCCTTCAGTGATGGAAATGGGATGTGGAAGTGTAAGCCAAATAAGACTTTTTTTGCCCCAAACTGCTTTTGGTGATGGTGTTTTATCAGAGCAATAGCAGCCCAAACTAAGAGAATGACCAAAGCTAGCATTTTTCCTCTTTCATGTGAACTTCATCAAAGAGAAAAGGTGGTTTGAAGTGGTTGTGGCACTCACTTGTAATCTCAACTCAGAAGGCAAAAGGGGGAGGATTCCGAGGCTATACAAAAAGATCTTTTCTTAGTTTAAAAAACAAAAGCAAAAAACAAAATTCATGGCTGCTGTGTCTTAAGGCTCCATGTATACTATGCTATAAAGCTTTTTTGTATGCAACTTTATTCACTGTTTAAAACCAAATGAAACCCCACCATACATTACAGTAATAATTACTTATCTGAACTCTAAATGAGAAAGTCTGAGGCTAGACTTGGGATTCTGCCCAAGCTGACAATATAGTGGGTCATTTCAACATTAATGGGTTCCATATCACGATTTCAATAATCTTACTCTCAAGCTATTTAAAGGCAAAAATAGCTACATTTATACTGAACACATACAAACTTTTGTCATTATTACCTAGGCACCCCAATAATAAAGCTATGTACACATTTTACATTATCTAACGATAATTAGAGCCCACAGCAAGATATGTAGAGGTTCTATGTAGACAACAAAAATGGCATTTTATACAAAGAAATTAAGCATTCTTAGATTTTTATATTCACAGGAAACTCACTGAAGCCAGCTCAATGGAACTCAGGTACCACGGGTCAAGTGTAACTGAGCACTTGTGGAACTCCTGTTTCTTCTAGGGTATGTCACTTGATTGGTTCTTGAGTGAGCTAACTAGTGGCTGCTTTGGGCTTCGCCAATGTGGAAGAGACAGATTTAACCTAAGAAAATCTTACCAGTGTCACACTATCAGAAGCTTCCTCCCCAAAAATATCTTTCATAAGAATGGACCACTTGATTTTAGATGTAGTTCCCCAATCTGAAAGAAAAAAAAAAACAAAAAACTGGAACATTTGATTCATTCAAAAAGTAAGAGGATGGAAATGAAAGGTATACTTCATTGAAAATTCTAAAGATACACAAGAAAAGATAAGGCAAAGGGCAGAGCACACAAAGAATAAAATGATAGTAAATATCAAATTTAAAGCTAAAGGAACACAGAGATAAAGTCTAATCTGATCAAAAGGTTTACAAAAGAACAGATAGAGATTAAGGAAAAAAAAAAAAAACCTTCCTTATTTCCTAATTCACATTATCAGATGTATTTCCACATTGATATTTTTGTTCCAGGGTCCATGTGTTAAAGCATTGGTCCTGTGTCGTGAGACTAAAGTGAGAGAATTTTTAAAGGGGTGGGGCCTACTGTGAGGTAATTAGGTAACCAATTACACTGTTATTAGATGGAATTGATGTTGGTCTTAGAAAGTTAAGTATGTACTATAAGAGAAAGCTGTTCATAAAGGTAGGTATGGCAACCCAGGAGTATGACTCCAGCACAGGAGACTTGGGCAGGAGAATCACGAGTTCAAGGCCAGCTTGGGCTACAGTGAGATTTTGTCTGGGGAAAAAAAAAAAAAAAAAAAGAAAAAGACAAAAGTAGTGGATAGTTATATAATACCAACAGGGGTTTCTCTCAGCTCTCTTGCTTTCTATTACATTGGTTGTGAATATGATTATGCTACTATGCTGTCATAGATATTTTTTACTATTAACTTGGCTGGACTTAGTCTGACCTGGAAATATACCTCTGGGCATATCTATGACAGTGATTCTAAGAACACTTTAACTGAGGAGGGGAAGACCCATCTTGTGTGTGGCCGGAAGCATCCCATGGGATAAGTGGAGGTGAGGCACAGAGTAAATTTAAAGGATGAAGTGAGTTGAGTACAGCATTTGTCTCTCTCTCCATCAGGAAGACAAATGCTAAGTGATTGGTCACCTCACCTTCCTGTTGCCAGGCTATTCCTGCCATGAAGGACTGAACCTTGAAACTGATCAAATAAACTCTTTCTCCCTTGAGTTACTTTGTGCCTGTACACAAATGCAATCTGTCATGTTATGACACAGCCTATACTGTATGGCTGATGGTACCAAGTTCCTGAACTGATACAAATGTGAGCTAAATAAACCCCCAAGTTGTTCTGTTACAGAAACAGGAAATCACTGAAAAGACCTGACAGCCCAAATCACCTCTGTGTGCCTAGTAGTCACTCACCTGGGGAAGTATCCTGTTGTTTGCCCCTCTCCTCCATCCTCAGCTCCTCTTCTTGCTCCAGGTGTGAGATGAGGCTGGGTTTGCCAGCCTGATACCCTACTCATGGAGAAAGATATGTTGAAGGAGGACTGTGCAGAGACAACCCTTCCACTAGACTGGGGTCAACAATTTTGTCTTCAGGGTTTTCTAAAGGTGGACAAGGCTGACTTAGGAGTAGCTGAATGATGGTGTCACATTTTTAAGGAACACAGTAAAAAAGGAATGCAGTAAAAGTCTTCTATAAAAACAAAAACTACACGTACTCACACAATTTATCATCAAAAAGAATGTGGACTTTTTGTTTTAAATGCTAGGAATGGAAACCAAGGCCTTACATTATCTAAAAAAACACTCTACCACTGGGCTATACCCCCAGACAAGAATGGAAACATTAAAAAACACAGAATTTTTATAATTTTAATTTTTTATTCATTTTAATAAAATTCTGTCTCTCTGTGTATGTGTGTATGTGTGTGTGTGTATGTGTGTGTGTGTGTGTGTGTATGTGTGTGTGTGTGTGTTTCCCTCTGGTCACAGGAGGTCAGTGGACACCCTGATCTATGCTCTATCTCATTCCCTAGAGAAAGGTTCGCTCACAGAATCTGTCGCCAGGCTGTTGTCCAGCAATCTCCAGCATTATCCTACACCCACCTCCCACGTCTCTGGGATTTGTCACGTTATCTGCAACAACATCCAGGTTTGCCTGTGACTGCTAAGAATCTGAACTGAGGTCATAACACTGTACAGTAGTTCCCTTCCTTACTGAGCAGTCTCCACAGACAAGAAACCTCTCACCTTAGACAGTTGTGGTAGGGGCTCAGTCACACACTTGAGAAGGTTCAATATAATGGGCAGGTGCGACTACCAGAGAACCTCTGAGGTGGTTACCAGCGCGGCTCGTTCTAAGTTCTCTACAAACCCCACCCAGGTATTAGGTCAAAGCAAGTACTAGATAAAACATCCTATCCCTGAACAGATGAGGGAACAATGCAGCCTTACCCAGTGAAGTCAGATTGCTATAATTCTCCAGCATTACATCTTTGTACAGTTTTCTCTGGGAAGAATCTAGCAGGGGCCACTCTTTCTCAGTGAAGTCCACAGCAATATCTTGGAATGTCACAGAATCCTGCAAACCATAAACACTGAGGTCAATGAGAAACCAGCTCACAAGACAACACAGGCAGAATATAGGTACAAGAGATATAATCTGATTTCAAGATATGGCCTGCTGAAGGTTTCTGTACATGTTAGAAGAATATTCTCAGATAGTCTCTTCCGTTTGAGTGATCTTAATCTGACTCACTACATCAACAACAACTCTGACAAGATTTCTTTCCACTTCTAGGGTGGCTGACAGCATGTAGCTTGACTTTTTTTTCTGTTTCTACGTTGATTCTGAGTACAATGCAAACACGTGACTTGTCACATGTATAACCTCTAACTTCCCTAATAATAATTAGAACCATAGAGCTTTCCTTAGTGTGCTGGTCCTTTACCAGACATGCACTGACCTGGTGAATATCTAAAAGAATTCCAACACTCAATGGTGGTGGTCCTGTCCTAAAATGTACTTGTCCCACCCTTGGGCCTTGAGTTCTTATGTACCTGAGAAGAAACACGAGTTGGTGTATCAGGCTCTGGGGCATGGCAAGCCGACAAATCCAAATCCTGCTGACTGGAATGGTATTTTGGTGGAAGAGGAAATTCTGAGACCTGGTTATCTATAGAGTCCTCAAAGGACATAGCTAGGACAAGAAAATAAAACCCATGAGATTCATCTATCCCCTCAGTAAGCATACTCAAGTAAGTCACACATGCCCACACAACCCCTAGATATTCACAAACAGGGACAGGGAAGAGGGTGCTGGTGAAACACAACATGAGCAGCACAATATCCTGCATAGGATTTGCTTAGACTCATTACTTGATTTCAGGTATTTTTTTTTCAAGTTTGGCATCTTTGCGTACATGTAATGATGGATCTTAGGGAAGAGACTGGCGTTTAGACAAGATTCACTTATGCTTCACAGTTACACACACAGCTAAAGCTCATCCTAGGTACTTTGACAACACAGCTGTTTGACTGCAACTTGTCACATGATGTAAAGTTTCAGATTTTATAGCTTTTCTGATTAAAGACGTCCAACCTGTACACAGTTCCAGTTTCTGAGAGATGAAACTGCAGCCTCAGAGTTAAAGTTGCTGACCTTCTCAAATTTCTCAAAACAATAGATCACATACAGCTAGTTTTTACTGCTACCTTCTTCACTGTATATCCCAACTGTATATATGCTCTTCTTTGTCCCAAACCTACACATGCCCTTAGTTAGTCGCATGGACAACCATTGTTCAGCTCACCCTTCCTGGCTCAACAGGTTACATATATGGATCTCCTCAATTTATGCATGGAAGGAGACATACACGCTCACTTACCGTGGGCAAGAACATGAGAACTTACCAAACATGGGAGACAGACCGAGGGTAGCCATCCTGTGGGGGCACGGGCAAACTTAGTGGAATGTAGAATACTTGAAGAAGCACTGTTTTTCCAAGCTGACAACTCCCACAGGGGGTCCTCAAAGGCTCTCTTTCTTACTCAGTGAGGAGAACTCTGAATTTTGTTTCTTGGCATTTCCTCTCCCCATAAGCTGTCTGATTATGGGCCATCATCAACCTAAGTGAAGAGAAACTGAAACTGGAGGAACAGCTGCTGTGAGCTGCTACAAGGCTGGTGGGAACCAAACAAAACTCCTCTGCTATCCCGGGTGCTTTTAACTGCTGAGGCACACCTTCACGCACTTATTTTATGTCGGTACTTAACGTGTTAAAAGCAACTGCACGGGAGGACAGCTAGACATAGCAATAAAAAATTGCACATTTAAAAACCTAACAGAAAATCTTTTAGACATTTTCAAAATTACTACCTTTGAAGAAATACTTAGTTCAACTTAAGCATTAATTCCCTCTGGATATATAATGTGTTACCTTGATGATATGTATAATTTTAATTAAGTATTAGAATTTAATTCCCATTCACTTTCAATACCCTGAAAGAGACACACAGAGGTATAAACTTGAGACTAACTTAAGATCTGAAGCTATGAGCTAGAAATGGGAAGGAACCCTAAAAAAGTAAATCCTAATATTAACAAATACATTGCGTATCTATTGTACTCAACTATGCATATACCCACACTCCTGCTACTTGGGATGTTCTCAGTGAAAACTCCTGTTCAAAACTGTACTTCTCTTGCTTTTAAAAGTTTTTATCATATATGTATGATTCAATAGTGATATTTGATTTATCTTTTAACAATAAAAAAGGTACACATTCACACAGTGGCTGTTGTGTACTATGGAATAGCACTTAATTTAGATTCCTTTGTAGAAATTACTTGCCAATGTTTATAAATTTAAAAAAGCATAGACTATGCAGGGGCTTTCCTGTAATAAGTGGCAATCAAAACTTAACAAGGAAGCTAGGCTTGGTAATATATTCCAGTAACCCCTCATGCACAGAAGGCTGAGGATTGAGAATTGGAAACCAGCTTACAATGAGACATCCTAAAACACAAAAAATAAACATACAAATAAAAATGATATAAATTTATAACCAAGAACAAATATAGTAGACACAATAGTATCAACCTATACACACACACACACAAACACACATATCTTTCAGGAGAGCAGGTCTCCTACAATTCACCTGGGCAGCACACTAGAGCTGGCTTATGGGAGAGTTGGCCCCACTTCTCAATGGCTGAAGCACTGGTGGGCTTGGGGTTGGGGGGTGAGTTTCTACCTCCCCTGGGCAGTGCCGAGAGCTGGCCCTGGTGGTACATATGTAGGAGAGTCGCAGGCTAAGCCCAGATGTAGGGCTTGGAGTTGGCACACCACAACATCTATCCCATCTATGAACTGCTGGAGACCATGAAGGGGCTGGTCCTGCAGAACCAAAGCTGCAGGATATCCTTGACACAGGGCAAAACAGGTTGTCTGAAAAGAGCCCTGGTGAAGATGCAGTATTGATGCTGTAGCAGAAGCGAGAGGCCTTGAACCAGACCAATGTTCACTGCAATGAACATTTGCAAGTAAAGCTGTTTGGGCAAAAAGGTATACTGTGTGACACTCACTGCAGCTTCTGCAGTGAGTTTTTTGTTGTTAAATTTTTAACTTTTTATTGTTTTGTTGTTTTTATTTGTATTTGTTGTTTTCTTTTGGGTGGAGGTTACAAGGGCAGAGGGCAGATATCGAGGGACAGATGAGTGATAGGAGTTGATAATTAAAATTCACAAAGAATCAATAGAAAATTAAGAAAAATACACTGAGGACAACTGAGACCAAGCATTCTTTGTGTATGTGTTTTTCCAGTTCTGGGAAAATGTCCTCATTCATTATCAACTAAATTTCTTATCCTTTTTTTATTGTACTTTTAGGTTTTCTGTAATGATATGCTTTTGTTTCACTATATTTTCTTCTAGCCTGTCATTTATAATACACATAAAATTAATTTTTGTCATAGACAAATATTTCATTAATTTCACTATTTTCTGCATTTTCCCATTAAAGGTTTTTCTTTTCTCAATGAGGTATTTCATATCACTACTTTTATCACCTTACATTTAACTTAAAAAATTTATTCATTATCTGAGAATTTCAATGTATTTTGAACATACTCACTTCCCTACCCCAATTCTTCCCACACCTACCCTCTCTACTGCCCTTGCCATCCAATTCTGAGATTTCGTCTTCTACTTCTTTTATTTATCTTTTCCCAGGAGTTCTATATTTAACTCTTTATCCATCGGGATCATTCTGTTTTAAACATATACAGTTCAGGGCTGGAGAGATGACGCAGGCGTTAAGAACAATGACTTCTCTTCCAGAGGACCTGGATTCGAATCCCAGGGCCCACAGACCACCTCAAAACTGTCTCTATCTCCAGTTGCATGGGTTCCAAAGCCCTCTTCTGACCTCTGGACACCAGCCACGCATACATGCAAGCAAGACACCCATGCACAGTAAAAATACACACAGTTCATCTAACATCTTTCTTTTACTAAAGAACATGTAATTTTCAAAATATTAATTTCCCTTAAAACAGACTGGTATGGAAGGCTGGGGTCATTTACTTTACTGACTCAAGACTCAAAACTTACAAGGCAAATTATTAAAAAAAAAATCTTGCGGGAGAGGGAGTGGGGATGAGAATGTGGATGGGAACCAGGAGAGCAGGGGTGGGAGGTGAGAGGGTTGGGAGAAAGACAAGAAACCAATGGGAGAGGGCATTTCTGGGACAAGCTGGAGACCTCTGATGGGGCAGGGTCCTGGGAGGATATGTGAGTGACTCTAGCTGAGACACCTAGCAGCACTGAATACGGAGACTGAAGTGGCCTCCTCCTATAGTCAAGCAGGTCTTTTAGTAGAGGGAGGGGAATATCAACATACCCACAATTTGAAAATAAAAACATTATATAAATATATTATACATTTGTATATTCTATTAAAATAGCATTTAGAATCAACTAAAGTATTTGTAAATAAAACATCTTTGATGGTTCTCATTTTTAACATTTTATTAATTCTTTGAGAATTTTAATCGTGTTCATTCTTTACACTATTCCACAGCTCCTCCTCCCTACGTACCTCTAATTTTTGTCATCTTTTCACCTTTTTTTATTATATTTTATTTTTTACAATATACCCCCCGGCTCTTACAATCTTCTGGTCCCGTCTTTTCAACCACCCCTAAGCCTTAGGTGCAGGGCTTCACGCCACTCTACCAAATGCTCTGTATTTTTGTTGCAATATCTAGAAAGCTTCTACATTTTCACAAATAGAAAAACTACACCTACAATAATTCCTTGCAGCTAAAACTCTGTAACTCTTTTTCCCTTAGAATAAATTTCTAGATAGTAAAATGCTTGACCAATATTTATGAACATGTTTAAGCCTTTTGTTAAGTATTGGGAAATTATCTTCTGAAATGGTTTCATTTGCAGCTCCTTTAGCTACGTACGTATTTCTTACACAAGGGAAAACATCTGACTTACCAAGCTGATGAATTAGTTTTGGAATTATTAAAACTAGGCAAGGATACAAAATATATTAAAAACAGAACAGAATTTTATAGCTGGCCTATTAATCTGAAAATAAGAAGAAAGGATATGACTGTAGAAGAAAGGATGTAATTCAATGATAGAGAACTAGTCTGACATGAGTAAGAGCTCTGGCTTTAATCTTCAGCACTTCAAAAGAACTGGCTGGGAGATGGCACAATGGATAAAGTGCTTGCCATGCACAAATAAGAATGTGATTTCAGATTTTACCACCCACATAAAATGCTGCCTATGGCAGTGTAAGTCCATGACCATATTACCAGAGAGGAAATGGGATGATCCTGGAATCTTACTGCCAATCAGTCTAGCCAAAACAGCCACTTTATGTTCAGTGACAGACTGGTCTCAAAACAATAAAGGCAGATGCCAAATAGCAACCTCCTGCTTACAAATATACATGCTAAAATACCCATACACAGACGTGTACATATGCACACAGACACAGGTAGGAAAAGAAAAAAAAAAAGGAAGAGAGAGAAAAAAATGGAGGAACCAGGTATTTATATTATGTGGCCAACCTTGTCCCTCTTCTTTCTTTCCTACATTCTCCATCCAAATGGTCAAATCCTGTCATGTCACACTCAAAACATATGCAAAGTTTTAGCTATGCCTCAGCATCTACACTATAACTGCTTTGATCCCAGACCTCACCCCTCTTCCAAATCAGTCAGACTGGTACCCAGCTAGTCTCCTACATCCTGTTGCTTGTAAAATATATGTAACATACACATCTTTGCTAAAAACCTTCTGATGGTGTTTCATTTTCCTTAGAACAAGGTCCCATACCCAGGCCCCCACTTATGCTAGCTCACACTGACTTCTTTGCTGAGCGTTATGCCCCCAGACATGCACACACATCAGGGGCTTGCTATCTCTTGTTCCCAATGTTCTTCCCTACATTCTGTGTTTTCTCTTGCCTGGCTCTTCCCTTCAGGATTTATTTATTAAACTTTAAGGCTTTTGAGATAGTCCTTTCTATCTGTTCTACTTACTTTGCAAACCCTTGCCTTTTTCCATCCATTTATTTTCCTCCAAAATATATATGTCCACTTAATACACTTTACTAAGTAATTTAGTTTTTTTTTTTTTTTTTTTCCCAAGACAGAGGTTCTCTGTGTAATCTTGGCTGTCCTGCACTCACTTCATAGACCAGGCTGGCCTCAAACTCACAGAGATCCGCCTGCTTCTGCTTCCTCAAGTGCTGGTATTACAGGCCTGTGCCACCATGCGTGGCACACTTTACTAAGTTATAACAGGCTATATTTTACTACAAATAGACAAATCTGAACCTAACTAACCAATAAAGTAGAATTTAGAGGTAGGACTACACCTTCGTAGCAGAATGTTTACCTAGCAGGCATAAGGCCCTGGGTTTGAGCCCCAGAATCACACAATGAAGGGAAGAAGGGATGGAGGAAAGGAGGAAGGTAGGAAAGAAAGTCTTACAAAGCTTGCTGTGCTCATCCTCACAGAAATGAACACATCCTAAAGGCCCGTGATATCCTTCTCTTTACTACTGGACTACTGAGACAAATCCAGAAAATAAAATGTGCCTAGGAATCTCATGCTAGGAGAAGGAATATGCCGGGAGCCAAAGCTATGTACCGAAGCCTAAGTCAAACAGTGAGCCAAAGCTATCTAGTGGAGACAAAGCTATTTACTTAAGCCAAAGCCAAGTAGTGAGCAAAGGTCATTTAGTGGAGACCTAAAGCTATTTAGTTGAAGAGTTACCTAGGACCTGAAATCATGGGTGATAGATTGTGAGAACATCCATCTGTTAGTTTTAGAGTATCCGTGAGATAGCTTAAGAAAACAACCTTATGGCATCTTGCAGGTGCAATATTTAACCCATGAAAGCACTCTTCCTATCTCCTGCAGCAGTAAATTAACCTCCCCCCCTTCCTGCCTTCTCCCTATATAAGTTGGGTAAAAATTTCTAATAAAGGAAGCCTTGATCAGACAAACAGACTTGGCTTCCTTCCTTGCGCTTCTCGTCCCCTCCCATTCCTTCCACTCTCCTCCCTTAGGAACCCACTTGAAGCCTCGCTGGTCGGGGCAGGAAGAGGCTGAAGCCTGGTGCCACTCAGATAGGGAACCTATGACCCATAAAGAGATTTCTGACAATTTATCAGATCACCTTGCAGGACAGCACACATGCACCTGAGCTGTTAACTATTTATACGTTGCCCCTCTGCTTAAGCTGAAATCTCATCTCAGTACCAGTACATGGACTTGGACAGTCACTGCAACTCTTTCTTTTCCCCCTGTGGACTCACTGAATGAATATCCTTTTCCTAATTTTCACTTTTATCTTTTATTGAATTTGTATTCTTACCCAAAATATTCCAGGATTTAGAGAAGAAAAATTTTCTGCCGCATTTTAGGAGGATGGCTGGCATAAGCTTGAAATAGACAAGAAAAATTTACTATAAAATATACTCAAAAAATTAGCAAATTTAAGTCCCAAATGTCAAGAGAATGTGTCCTTTCAAAACTTTGTTACAAATACAAATTCAGTGTACCACTGGAAAGTCAATTGTTTTAACTTCATTATTCATGAAAAACAAAACAAAACCCCATTATTTGTTTATTCATTCAATATATCAACATTATGGCTAAGCATAACGTACTTAAATTCATCAACACCTGAAAGACAGTGGGGGAAAAAACAGAAAAAAGAAAACACTTGGTAGACTAGATTAACATAACAAGAAAAGAGGTAAAACAAAAGAAGAAAAAAAATACCTCCAGTAAAAGAAAAGTTCCTTGATGTAAAAAAAGAAAGAAAAATATTCCAGCACATGGGAATTCAAATTCACTTAGAGACAGGACCACCAATGATTCTGCCAGACAAATTCATTAACGATATTTCAAGTCTCCAACTACACCACAATATAGCCAGTGTGTATAATTCAAAGGAAGCATACATATTTACTTATTTTGTTCAGGTGATAAAACTGCCTATGAATAACATCCAAATATTGTACTAAATTAGTAGAAATAAGTATTTTTAGCAAGAATGTTGATCTCAAATTCAGTAATTATAAAACAGTTTCAACAGTGGAGGAATGGATGCACAAATTGTGGTATATCTACACAATGGAATATTACTCAGCAATAAAAAACAAGGAAATCATGAAATTTGCAGGTAAAAAGTGGGATCTGGAAAAGATCATCCCGAGTGAGCTATCCCAGAAGCAGAAAGATGCACACGGTATATACTCACTCATATAGACATATAATATAGGATGAACCTACTAAAATCTGTACACCTAAAGAAACTAATCAAGAGGGAGGACTCTTGCTAAAATGCTCAATTCCTACCCAGAAAGGCAAAGAGGATGGACATCAGAAGAAGGAGAAGAGAGGGAACAAGTCAGGAGCCTGACACAGAGGACCTCTGAAAACTGCCCTGCAGACTATCAATGTAGATGCTGAGACTTATGGGCAACCTTTGGGCAGAATGCAGGGAATCTTAGGAAAGAAGTGGGAAACAGTAAGATCTGGAGAGGACAGGAACTCCACAAGGAGAGCAACAGAACCAAAAAAACTGAGCACAGGGGTCTTTCCTGAGACTGCTATTCCAACCAAAGACTATGCATGGAGATAACCTAAGACCCCTGCACAGATGTAGCCTATGGCAGTTCAGTATCCAAGTGGGTTCCACTGTAATAGGAACAGGGACCGTCTCCGACATGAACTGATTGGCCTGCTCTTTAATTACCTCCCCCTGAGGGGGAAGCAGCATTACCAGGCCACAGAAGAAGACAATGTAGCCACTCCTGATGAGACCTAATTGACTAGGATCAGAAAGAAGGAAAAGAAGACCTCCCCTATCTGTGGACTTGGGGAGGGGCATGCATGCAGAGGGTGGAGGAAGGAAGGGTTTGGGACGGGAGGAGGGAGGGAACCACGGGAGGGGGTACAAAGTGAATAAAGTGTAATTAATAAAGAAAAAATATTTCAAAAAAAATAAAAGAGTTTGAAGAAATATAACTGGACACCAAAAGTCAAAGTTCTCAGTTATAAATAGCAACAGATTAGCTATAAAATTCAACCCATAAATAAAATGTAACTAATAATAAAAAATAAAAAAATAAAAAAAATAAAAAAAATTCAACCCATAAAATGCTGATATTCTAAAGATTTATATACAGATCCAACACACTTTGGAAACAGGAGTCCAGTGCCTGAGGCTTTAAAATCTCATTTTAAAATATAAGGTGTAACACTGGTGAAAAACGATGACTATCTGTTAAGAACAATATACTTAGGAATATCTAGATTACAAGAATGGCATGCTTGCATCAGTATGTACAAACGATTTTCATTAAAATCTGTAAGAGTGCAATATGCATCTGGGAAACAATAAAATCCATACAGTTAATTATAAGGGAGAGAGAAATATACACTATAACAATTGTCACCTTCTATATTTGAAATAAAAATTTGGCCTCTGCAAAGAATATACCTGTTGCTGTCTTTTTAATTATAAGTTTGAGTATGAAAGTTATGACCTTCTTAAAAGGCAGAGATAACATGGGAAAAACCAAAGCAGAAGATCAGCGAATACAGTATTAATTAGACCAACTTTCAAATTACACTGCAAGTATGTCAAACTGAATTACAACTGTTTACAAGTAATTTATTTGCATGAGCACTGTCAGCTAACAAACGCATAAAGTAATTGTTGATTTAGCGCCGCAGAAAAAGGTGTGTGCAAGTTCAAGGACAATAAAAGAAAAACGGTGTGCTTACGCAGAATTTTAAAAAGAAACCCCGTGCCCAGAGCCATTTCGGGCACTCCGTCGCCCACGAACGCCCTGTTTAGGGATTTCGGGTCGGCAGCGCCTCCCGACGTTACCTAGGAAGCGGGCTAACCCAAATGCCCGGTGGCCAGCCGCAGGGAGCAGACGCACGCCTCCGCAGGTCTCCGGGGTCCTCATCCCCGAACTTACGGCCCTCTGCTGCCTGGAGCTAACGGGTTAAGTGACGAAACGCGGGCTTACCGGGCTGAGGGTGGAACCCAGGAAGCGGAAGTCTCCGCAGCGAGGGCGGAAGAACAAGAAAGTTCACGCTAACGTCCTGAAGGCTTGGGGGAACTCCACGGTCACCACGCTTCCGCGCGTACGTCCTACGAGAACCTTTTCCTTAGAGAAATGGCTTCTACTTCACTCCTGGCTACGAAATCTCGCGGAATTTCACTGGCCACTTACAACGTGAAACCCTCACGCTGTGCATTTTAGGAAATGGAAGTTGGATAGACTCAACGAGCCCTGCAGTCTTGGCCAACTGGGAAATCTCGCGAAACCAACTGACAGCTTCTAAAGGGGACTCACCCTCGATATGGTTTATGGGAAATGTAGTTTCTAAGTTTGACAGCCCTGATAACGATGCTCAAGTAGACTGTATATCAGGTATATTTTTTCAAAGCTCTAATTGACCCAACAGCATTATATGGGGCCTGTCCTCAGCTTCTTTTTCTATAACCATCAACCTGTTAGCAGTGATTCCTTCCACTTCAAATATTTTGTACACAATCACTATGCTCAAATTTCCACTCATAACCCACACCTCTACCTCCAAAGCCAGATTATCTTATTTAGATATTTTATACACATATTAAAATACTGAAAATAGACCAAACACAACCTCAAATATAGCAACTCTATCCACCTGTCCATTTCAAAAGCAGTGTCAACACAAAACAGCTCTTGCCTCAGATAAATTTGTTCTGAACACGTGAATATGAACCAGAAACACCAATTGAGGATGTCACAAAAAACAAATTTTACCATGGAACTGGACACATGAGATTTTTTTAGTTGCAGAGTGAAGAAAGTAAAAGATCAACACATTTAGCAAATATGATGAGGCAAGGGATGAAGAGATTTGTATATACAGCCAAACAGAGAAAACAATGCTGTATGTCTGGGCTGCATTCTTAGTTTTGGGTTTGGTTGAAATTATTAATCTGTTAATAATACATGTTAAAAATGTTATAAAGGGTTGTTCAACCAAACACGGAGATGGGCAATGAAATAAAATGAGGATATCAAAACTTGCCCAGGGTAATTTGGTTTTTGATCAGTATTCTAACTGCACATGAAGTTATGAAGTTCTCATAACCCTATATTTCTGTATTTTCAACATATCTTCCTGACATGGGCTATGGCAACAAGCTGAAAATCGTGAATTTATTCAAAATCAGAGAGTCTTCAATGTATGCATACATTTGTATTATTTTTTCTCTTATTTTGGCAGTAGGGAAACTTCATTTTTTTAATGCCTTTTCTTGTCTACCTGCATTCAGTAATTCACAAAATATTACTCATTTTACCTTTAATATGTCTCTTTACCACCAGAACCTACCACATCGAAAGCCAAAAATGTCATCAGGTAGAGTGGTAGACCTGCAGTAGTTATTTCCGGGTAAGAACCTTGTCTCTATTTAAAGGTGAAATGGCAGCCATAAGCTCATGTAGTTGAACAATACAGGAGACAGTTTAGGAAGTCTGTGTAACTTTAGAAGTGCAGCTTGACATAGTCACTAGATTGGGTAGGTCTTGAGGTTTAAGAGTCTGATTCCAGTGGGAGATAGTAAGACCTGGAGAGGACAGGAGCTCCACAAGGAGAGCAACAGATCTAAAAAGTCAGGGCACAGGGTTTTTTTCTGAAATGGATACTTCAGCCAAGGACCACTCATGGAGATGGCCTGGAACCCCTGCACAGAGGTAGCCTATGGCAGCTCAGTATCCAAGTGGGTTCCATAGTAATGGGGACAGGGACTGTCTCTGATAGGAACTGATTGGCCTGCTCTTTGATCACCCCCCCCCCTTGAGAGGGGAGCAGCCTAATCAGGCCACAGAAGAAGACAATGCAGCCACTCCTGATGAAATCTGATAGACTTGATTCAGAAGGAAAGGGAGGAGGACCTCCCTTATCAGTGGACTGGGGGAGGGACACAGGTGGGGAAGAGGTAGGGTGGGATTGGGAGGGGAGAAGGGAAGAAGGTACAAGGGGGATACAAGTGAATAAACTGTAATTAATAAGAATAAAAATTAAAAAAATAAGAAGATAAAAAAGAGTCTGATTCCACTTCTGTTTGCTCACTGCTTCTTATCTGCAGATGCAATGTGATAGGCTGTATTATCACTCTGCTGCTCTGCTGCTGGGATTCCCCAAGCACAATGTACTATATGCTCTCAAACTATAGCCCAAATAACTCTTGAATTGTAAGCTACTTCTTGTCATTTATGTTGTCACAATAAAGAAAGTTACTAATAGAACTGTGGGAAAAATGAGCATTCTACCAAAAGCAAACTTTACTATTATTATTTTTAAATTTTAATTTATTACTTATTACAATTTATTCACTTTGTATCCCAGCGGTGACCTCCTCCTCTGTCCCCTCCCAATCCCACCCTCCCTCCCTCTTTTCTTCCCATGCCCCTTCCCCAGTACACTGATAGGGGAGGTCCTCCTTCCCTTCTATCTGGCCCTAGACTATCAGGTCTCATCAGGACAGGCTGCATTGTCTTCCTCTGTGGACTGGCAAGGCTGCAGCCCCCAGGGGGAGGTGATCAGAGAGCCAGCCACTGAGTTCAAGCCAGAGACAGCCCCTGCTCTCTTTATTAGGGAACCCACTTGGAGACTGAGTCTATGGGCTACATCTGAGCAGGGGTTTTAGGTCCTCTCCATGCATTGTCCTTGATTGTGGTGGTATCAGTCTCTGCAGAGGCCCTCAGGGCCCAGTATTTTTTGGCTCCGTTGGTCTCCTTTTGGAGCTCCTGTCCCCTTTACGTCTTTCTATCTCCCCCTTCTTTCATAAAATTTCACGCACTCTGTCCAAAGTTTGGCTATGAGTCTCAGGCTCGTCTTTGATACCTTGATCAGTAGAGGTCCTCTGTGGTAGGCTCCGGTCCTGTTCCCTGTATTCTCTTGCTTCTGATGTCTATCACATTTGCCCTTCTGAATGAAGATTGAGCATCTTTCCTAGGATCCTCCTTGTTGCTTAGCTGCTTAGGAGTACAAATTCTAGTATGTTTATCCTATATTATATGTCTAATAACCACTTATGAGCGAGCATATACCATGTGTGTCTTTCTGCTTCTGGGTCACCTCACTCAAGATGATCTTTTCTAGTTCCCACCATTTGCCTGCAAATTTCATGATTTACTTGTTTTTAATAGCTGGGTAGTATTCCATTGTGTAAATGTACCACAATTTCTATATCCATTCCTCAACTGAGGGACATCTAGGTTGTTTCCATCTTCTGGCTATTATGAATAGGGCTGCTATGAACATGGCTGAGCAACTGTCCTTGTATAGGTTAGCATATTCCGGATATATGCCTAGGAGTAAAGCAAACTTTAGCTTTAATGCAATTTCTATCAAAATACCAACATAATTCACAAAAATTGATAGGACAATATTTGGTTTCATATAAAAACACACATAAAAAATCCATTAGAGCTAAAACTATCCTGAATAATAAAAGAACTGCTGGTATCATGATTACTGATCTCAAATTATAGTACAGGGATAGAGTAATAAAAACAGCAATAAATCGGCACAAATACAGACACATTGATGAACAAAATCTAATTGAAAACCCAAACATATGTCCATACTGCTATGGACAACTAATTTTTTTCATAAAGAGGAAAGAAATACACACTTTAAACAAATGGTGCTGGTCAATCTGAATGGCTGCATGTAGAAGAATCCAAATACATCCACATTTATATCCATGCATAAAACTTGACTCCAAGGACTAAAGACCTCAAAGACAAGGCCAGATACACTGAATCTGATAGAAGAGAAAGTGGGGAATAGTCTTGAAGTCATTGGCACAGAAAAGACTTTCTGAACAGAACAATAGCACAAGCAATAATATCAATTAATAACAGAACCTCATTAAACCAAAAAGCTTATGTAAGGCAAGGGAACACCGTTTGGAGAAAGTAGAAGTCCACAGAATGAAAAAAAAAATTAACCAATTAAACATTCAATAGGGGGCTAATAAATAAGATATATAAAAAAAGAAAAAAATTGGACACCAAGAAAACAATTTATATACCAAATGAAAAATGTGGTACATACATAAACAGAGAATTCAGAAAACAGGTAAGAATATGCATAGAGAAGACATGGACCCTCTGCTCAGATGTAGCCCATTGACAGCTCAGTCTCTATGTGAGTTCTCTAATAAGGGGAGAAGAGACAGTCTCTGACATGAACTCAGTTTCCTGCTCCTTGATCACCTTTCCCTGGTGGGACAACCCAGCCAGCCCACAGAGGAAGAGGATCCAGTCAGTCTGTCACTATCCTGTCAGGTCCCATCAGTAGAGGTGATCAAAGAGCAGGCCAATCAGATTATGTCAGAGGCAGTTCCTGTTCCCATTACTATGGAACCCACTTGGACACTAAACTGCCATGGGCTACATCTGTGCAGGGGTTCTAGGTTATCTCCATGCCTGGTACTTGGTTGGAGCATGAGTCTCTGGGAAGACCCCTGTGTTAAAATTTTCTGGTTCTGTTGTTCTCCTTGTGGGGTTCCTGTCCTCTCCAGATCTTACTATTTCCCACTTTTTACATAAGATTCCATGCACTCTGCCCAACAGTTGGCCATAAGTCTCAGCGTCTGCTTTGATAGTCTGCAGGGCAGAGCCATGCTTTTTTTTTTTTTTTTTTTTTTTAAGAAAATTTATCTGTTAGGTTCCTCATAAGATGTTTAAACTGAGGTTCTAATTTTATTGAAAACATTTCGGGCAAATCTCAGTATTATATATGGGGTAGACAATATCTTTCACAAAATTCTAGTAACATTTTGAGAATGATTTTCATCTGATTTTATAGTTAGATTCCCATGAATTGAACCCTGGAATTATCTATATATATAGTATCATAAAGAAGTAAGTTTTCATACACTAGGAAGTGATAGCTGGGTACTTGTTTATATCTATCTATCTACCTATCTATCTATCTATCTATCTTAAATTTTTTCACAATTTATTCATTATATATCT